ATAGAAGTGAAAGATGAATAAAGCTAAAAAAGTGATATAATCCTTTCATTCTTCGAGCTAAATCTAAGGATTTAGAACCAAAATTCGCTTAGAAATGTTAACTGAATGATCTCTAATATACATAAGAAACTTTTGAATTAGATCTATTAAGTGAAAAAAACATACGTATCATTAAGAAGTAAAGTTGATTTAGATACAAGGAAACATAATGTCTGCAATGTTGTTCCGAGCAAAAAATCTGAGAAAAATCATGTCTTAGTTTTTCTATAAGAGTAGAAGGAAAAATCTTGAATCCCTTGAAAAATTTTGGTTCATTTCCGACGAATATCAATCGATCTATTCATTTTGATCTTTTCAGGATATGACTAAATTTATATATCTGAATAACAACAAAGATTGTATTATCATTTCGAAATCTACATTAAATAAGTTTTCATTTGATATAAAATTAGTTTTTACATGTCTCATAGTTCAAGAGAATAAAACTTTTATAAAATGATACCTCTAGATACTATCCGACAAGAAAGTATTACGTGTATGAAAAAACCATTGATGAAAACTATTCATAAACGAATACTTGTAAAATATTCTTGTTGGAAAATTTCATAATTCTTCATCAGTAATATTCAAGGGGAAAACGACTGACTTAAGTCATTTTAAGTCAAAAGAAAGTCACGAAAATCATCTGTAAAGAAGCATTAATAAAGAATAAAAAGCTGTGATTTTTTTGTCAATGTCGACGACACATTCTCTAAAACATTTTCTTCCCACTTTTTTTCAATGATATGCACATAAAATAGGCGAAAAAAAAGATACATATACGTTGTAGGAAAAATTGGTATGTCATTTTGAGAACTTCCGAACTAACAAAGAAAACCAATCATACAAATACGAGTGGACTTAAGGATGATGGTGAAAGTGAAGAAGATCTGAGTGAGAGAGCGGAAGTAATGATAGTGGGAGTAAAGAATTCTCAGCGAGGGTTAGTTTTTCAGTAAGATTATGGTGCTATACAATTAGTCAGTCTGATTTTATCTCCAACTTCATCACACTTATCGAGACCCTTCATCTTTACTCAGACTTCGGTCCTTGGCATCACCAGCATTCATGATAACGAGAGATACACGAGATCAAAAACTAAAGAGTTGTCAAGACCAAAATATAAAAACTTACAGGAACCAAACTCGGACCAAGAACAGGAAAACAAAGTTTTTTGTTAAATTTCCCTTGATTTTTAGCAAATTATGTGGTAAATCAGATTATTCTTGACAAAATTGATCACAATAGGAGTATTTAAGAATTTTTTAAGATTTAAATCAGAAAATTTTAGAGTATTTTGCTTCACACCGGCATAAAAATCAGAACCGGAATCGTGATAAAAAAAAAGTTGATCTCGTACATGTCTATTCGTGGCTTCACTTCTGTCCTTATCGTTGTTTTTTTGTAGTTTTGAAGTTCATCAAAAATAATGTTCCAATTTTAACTCATGAAAATTCGAATTCTAATTTTGCCTACAACACATATATAATTCGTGTGTGCTAGACATTGATTTAGTTTGAACTTTGCCATTTATACGCATGTATCGTTTTTGTTACTCGTTTTATATGTATCGTTTTCTGTATTTTATGTTTATGTCACTTTTACATTTATGACTCCTTGAACATGCTTTATGCGTACTAAAATATTGCTTTTTGATGTGTTCACCTCCCACAATAATGACTTTCATAATCTTGTAGGTCAACTTGCCAGTTCAGATGAAGCAACATTGCTTAAAATTCAAGATACTCGAGCGTAAGTGAAGTCAGATACGAATTCGAATATTTACGAACAAGATTCATTTAGAAACTTCTTCCAAAGCTGTTATTCTTGTTTTAAGTATAATTCAACGAGCTCTATCCAATGGCATATGCGGGTTTTTCATAGCTCAAAATACACTTCGAAAAATCTCAAAATACTTGAAGTTTATCATAGGACTTAGATATATATATTTCAGTGTAACCGCGCAGAATTCGTTTAAAAACTTGTTCCAAAGGACATATTATCATTCGAACTATAATTCAATGAACTCTATCCAATGGTATAACTAGATTTTCTATAGCTCAAAACACGTCTCCAGAAATCTCACAATACTGAAATTTCACTATACCGATCTTGGAATGCGTAAATTAATAGTTGTTCACCTTGTGGACGGATCTGTTTTAAAGTATCCATTCTTATGCAAGGTAACGGCGAATAGAAACATATCGTTTCATTTCTTATTAAGTTCATCTTGTCTAACCTGCAAGGAATATCATTTACCAGCGCTTGTTTCATATTACATAGAGGGAAAACAAGTTTTCTAAATCAAGTTTTATAACGAGTTTTTACAGATATATGGGAAAGGGAATTTGCTTAGTGAGTTATAAACCGTTAACCAGTATATTGAGATTTTTAGTGATATATTTTGAACAATTAGCAATCTAAATAGACTATTAGAAACAGCTTATGGAGTTCTACTTGGTACAATAATAGAAAATTTGTCACAGCTTCTTGGACTAATATGAACAATTGTTATTTTGTAGATTCCAAGATCCTAATAGTGAAGTTTCAATATTGTGAGGTTCTCTGAGGCATGCTTTGAGCTATAAAAAATCTAATTATATCATTGGATAGAGCTTGTCGAGTTGTATTTGAAATAAGAATAACAACATTGGAACAAGTTTTTGAATGAATCCTACTCGTAAATAGTCGAATCTGGACTCAACTTCACCTACGTTTTCAAGGAATTATGAGAGCACAGATTGAAATTATGATTGTTTTCACTGTTTACAAAGCTGAAGGATGTCAGAATTGAAAGTAACATTCGAATATAGCGAGATATATTGGTTTTAAAATAAATGACTTTCATGATTTTTAAAGTCATTTTAAGTCAAAAGAGTCCAAATTCAGTCGTTTCCCCTTGGTATTATCTATAGTAATTAGTTTTAATATATATCAATATCGAAATCCAATTGTCATCTTATTTCATTCGATATCTCGGATGAATATTTCTATCAAATATTTTGAATATTGATCCGATTTACATATAAGATGCTTTTATTAATGTATTTTGTTTCGTATTTTTTATTTAAATATAAAATCTATAATAAAAATAGAAAAATGTATATGGAAAATTTAATTAAAAAAAAACTAGATTAAAGTTTATACGCAACAACCTAAAAAAGACATTAACGTGAACTATTCTCAAACTTAAGCCGGAAATTGAAATAAACTTTTATTTATATAGATAAGAATTCAATCTCATTTAAGACAAAAAAAGAAGTATAGAATTGATAAGAAAAATGATGTTCTTTGTGAAATTGACTTTGGATATATCATTAATTTCTTTCTTACTATAAGAGAATCCAGAAATCTTCTCACCGATTTTTTTTCTGTCTTCGCAGTGTCATGTGTAAAAATATAAATTCCATTATTGTTGTTCATTGTGGGCAATAAAGCAAGAATAAATCAGTAGATATTAGTCTACACAAGATAACATTTCAGTAAAAATATCCATTCTTTATTATTTACTTAATTATATCGTTTTTTGCTGAGTTTTTTATGGAAAACCAACAAGAATAGTCATTCGAACATTCCAAATGTATTTAAAGAGTCATCTAAAAATGACTTTACCAAATAAAAAATTGAATATCATTACTAAAATTCAACTAAATAAACTGATGCTTCTTTTATCACTGATTAAAGGAGTATGATATAACCCATATTCATAAGACAAACATTGAAAAATCATACATTATAGTGTGATTGTTGATTTCAATAAAAGACACATCTGGTTTGTTTCGATGATTTGCTCATATTTTTGTTGTTCGATCTCAAACTGATATCACTAGTTTATGTTTTCTTATTCTATATATATGGAAAAAGTTTCAGCCTTAAATAATAAACCACTATTGGCAAACTGCGATATAATATCAATAAAAAAAATCAAAGGATTTCTTTTAATAAGCAAAATTGGTTTGAAGAACAACTATCATTGTAAAGTATTTGATCCATTTATGATTTGTTTACGATACATATTGTATCACTTACTGGTAGAATATGTGTTTATATATGAAAAATAAACAATGATAGACGAAGGAAGTAGTCATGTATAATAGCCAAGGAAAAATGACAATGATAAAAATTAATTATTAATCAATTGAAATTTTCGTGAAGATGTTTTTGACTGTAAAAGTTTATGTCAAACAACCATTTTCAAACTTCATATTTTATCATTGTTAGTTTATAAAGTTAAAATCTCTGCTTATGACATATGATTAATTGTTCGTTACTTTTCTTTTTTAAAACAACAAGAGAAAAAGATAAAGCTTATTCTATGTTGTCTTTCAATCGATTGTTCTAGATCTTATACAAATATAATACTATCAAATTTGTTGTATTTTATGTTTAAGAAATAATGACAATCAAAATAAAGATTGTTTATACCAAATGATATTATCAGAAGACTTGAAGACAATATAATAAAATTTTGGTATATATTTTTATTAATATTAAACAATGTTTAGTTTCATATTTTGAGTCTAAACAGAAAAAAAGAAAGTAATGCGGATCTCTTAAATAAAAATTTCATCAGTCTTTGTTTTACCAGATAACTACTTATTTAATTAGTTAATCTTTTAATAATTTAACAGAGAAGATTGATTGATATAGTACAAATATTTTTCAATATTTTAATATCAAATATAATACTACTAAAACTAACAATTGCTGATTATTCGACATTATATTTTAAAATAAAACGATTATTAACAGCTCAACAAGAATGAACTATAAACTAGATCATGTCTACGTCATTTGAAAGATGATCTTATTTTTTGTTCAAATTGATCTTTACAACAAGTTTCTTTTTCTTTTATTAAAAAAAAAAAGAAAACTAAATCAACAAATAACAACAGAATAACATTTTTCAATCAAAAACTTACATAAGTAGATTCTAATATACATACACAAAAAGATAATTACTAATTTTGTGACTGTTGAATTTGACCAAAATTAGGTCGTTCCTGAGGTATATAACGAGGTTGTCGTAACCATTTTCGTTGAAATGGTGGAGGAATATTGTATTTTTCACGTACATCATTTTGACGATCTCTTTCAAATTTAATATCATATAAACTTCTTTCACAAGGCACATGAATTGGTAATTCATTTGATTTTCTTTGTATTAAACAAGGTGAACATGAAGAATTTAATGAATGATTAAAAGAATTTTCTAATCGATCAGAATATTGTGGTGATGATGCTGATGATGATGAATGACATGAAACTTAAAAATAAACTTTTTATAAATAATAAATTTATTTTAGAAACTTACTAATTGTTCGACTTTTAGGTGGACGCATAAAAACACGATTTCTTCTTGCTGCTATTGGCTCGATATTTCCCATTGTTTCGATTGAGTTAGTTGATTTATCATCAATTGTTTGTTGTTTCGATTGGAGTTTTGGTGAAAATAATAATATATCATTATTACTAAGATTATTTTTCTTGTTATTTACTAATGATGATGTATTGTAGGATTGTTCAGTTGTCTTATTAGTAGAAATTGAATTAGTACTATTGAGAATATCTTGTTGATGAATTAGAAGAGAAAGTCGACGAAATGAATGTTCAATAAATGATGAATAATGATTATTAGAATTCATATCTAACAAATCTAAAATAAATATAATAATAAAACAAAATATTCGAACTAAATATATATAAAATTAACAAAGAGAATGTAAAATAGAAAAGCCAATTATATCTTCTTTCTATCACGTGTCGACGAATAATGAATGACTAATTGAAATAAACTTTTCCAATTTAAATATTGTAGATGGCTGTTTTTATTTTCAAAATTTACTTAAGATAATTCTATATAATCAGTTAATCTATTTCGATGATACAATCTATAATACAACTTATGAATAATAGTTAATAAAATGAATCTTTTCAATGTATATATTCATGTAAAGATAACAGAGATTTATAAACAAAAGATAAAAATAATGAATCTATTCCTTTCAAATATGAATAATTTGATAACAAAATAAGACACTACAGTATAAAAAAAAATGCAGAAAATGTTGAAAAGAAACAAAAAAACTTTAATATAGAACCATCTAGTGGAAGTTGTATTGAATCATTACAATATGTATAGTTTAAAAAAGATTTCTAATAATACTAACTATTATATTCGTTTAAATCGAAAAATCAAAGAGCAATGAAATGATTAAATTTCGATAAAAATAATAAATTTTCAATCAGTATTAGAAAAAGACACATAAAAGATTTAGTGCAATCAAATAATTTTAAAATGAATAGATAAAATATTTTTTGTGTTGTTAGTTAAAACTTCGTCCAAAGTCGATTATTATCATTGTCGTATAAAAGGAAAACAAATCGGTCAATATACTGACTGATATTCATTTAGACACAAACATATTTTATATTAAAGAAAAGAAAAAAAATAAATAAATACTGAACACGATAATGAACGAAGAAATATTGTTAATGAATAATATATTTAAAAGAATTTAATATTACTTAGTATAATCACTTTAAGAAAAGATAAAATCATTATATATCCATGTCAAATCTAAGAACAAAAGAAAATCAACATAAAGTTTGGATGTATTTTGTTTATATTATTGAATTGTAGGTCTAAAATCTTTTGGTAAATAAAAAAAAACAAAGCAATTCTTAAAACTAAATATCAACAATCGAGTATATCGATTAAATGAAATATTAGAAAAATTTTTTCTCTTACGTAATAAAATAAAAACTTCTACAAAATTCATTTTTAATAATTTTTCATCGACATATTCTGAACAAATATCATCACAATAGAAACTACTAAAATATAAATTCTTAAGTACATGTCAAGTCAAAAATATGACAAAAGTTTTATTCAAAATATCTTCAAATATACTAAAATCATTAACATTACCAATATGATGATAATAAACAAATTAATTAATCAATTTCAATACCTGCAGATTTTAACTAAAATCATAATGAATACTATTTATTTGAATATAAATAAGAAAATATTTATATTCAATTGAATATATTTATTGGTTTTTCACTTTTGAAAATAATAGATAATTTATTTCTAGATTAAAAACAATTAAAGAAAGAATTTTTATTAAGTTACTATATATGTTATTTATTTAAATTTCAATCAAATCGAAAAAAATCTTTCAATTCAATTGAATAGTTTATCATTGAAAAGTATTAATGTATAAATTTTTCGACAATATTCTATATGATTGATAAAAATATGTTTCGTAATAAAAGAAAAAATGATGATAAGACATTAGAATTAAATTGAAACAAGAAAAATAATTATCAACAAAACTTTTTTATAATTAAATTAAAGAAATTATTTATTATTTTGTGAAAAGAAATTCGATATTTATATTCTTTATATCACAAAAATTATATTAGATATCACTTAATGGAATATAATCAAAAATTTCATCATTTATGTCAAATGATAATTCAATCAATTTTTATATAACTCAACATTTATATAAGTTAGAAGTTGAAAATGTTATATGAAATAAGAGATTTTCCGATGATCTAAGAAAATTTCAAAGATACAAAAATAAATTGATTTATTCAATCTTGATTGATTTCAATCTAAAAAATGGAACACATCTCCTATAGTTTGTTGCTTTTAATAATCAAACCAGGTTTTTTGTTACTTTAAAAAGTGAAGATATTAATGAGATATCTATACAAGTAACAAGAACGTTATGTCTCCAACTCTTAATCTCGATGTATTAAGGAGATTAATGATGGACTATGATTTTTAAATCTAATTTCAGTTTGTATGTAATTGGTTTTTAGTTACTCAGAGTTCTAAAAAAGTTTCATTGAAGAGAAGAAGTTTTAGAAGCTACAGTTATGAATTCGTCTATGCAATATATGTAATAATCATTTATAGTTGATAGTCTTCAATTCAAATAAGAAGAGTTTGAATATGAAAGGATCATAATTAACAAAACCAATGTAAACTTACGTAGAAAAACGAAAAATTTTTAATAAAAATCCATGAATTTTCGTATTAATAATACTCTGAAGCTAAAGTAGGTCTTCAGATATTCCATTGTTTTGAAAATCATTCATGTTCATTACTCTAAAAATAAAGAAAAATACAAACTTTGATCAAGAACATTTTAATTCAATTTTATTTATCAGTAAAAATAATCCTTTGATCAAAGATAGATCTAATAGTAAAAGTAACCAAATATGTAAAATGACAAAAGTCAAAATCCAATTTTTCTTTTATATCTATTCATTTTTTCATCCTTCAGCTAAAATTATACTTTTCTTCAATCTATGAAAATCTATATGATAGTTCCTAGCAGACAAGTTTGTTTTTTTGGCAAGCCTTGGTCTCGTTCGGAATGCCTGCAAATTACACCAGATCGATTGATATTTCTGATGTTTCTGATCATATCAGTTATACTTCGCAAAATCGAAAAGATGGAATCATTGCAGCACAAACAACATTTGATTACGCCTACAAGAAAGAGATAAAAGAAAACCCACAACGAAAATATAGGGAATAAGCAATATTGATGATAATAGGCAAGAATATTTACATTTGATAATGAATCTTCGCAGTAGCACAAGCGCAAAATTTATCATCTAAACAAGTTTCGTCTGTCAATCAACATAAATTCTACGAGACCAGATTAATTGTTCAGTTCAAGTATTTGTTGCAAGATTCGAATGAATTTGTCAAAATGTTCTCGAATAATAAGATTTCAGAAAATAAAAGCAAGGCCAACAATTTGGGCCTAGTGTGATCTATTAACCAGGTTGAATATTATATGGATGGATCAAGCCAGATCGACAGCTCTGATCCATATGAAGTCGTTGAACAAATCTTGATTATAGTCAATTATTCTTTCAAAAAACAAAGTAACGAGAAAAATAGAGAAAGAATATAATTGAGATCTTTTTCCTTTTATTTCAAATAGTTTAAACCGAACAGAAAAGGAGAAAAAAGCAGGCGAAATGAAAAATTACTGATTATTATTATTGTCGTCATCATCAGTTACTTCATTTTCATATTGATCTCTTTTTCTTTTTCGTTTCAATATTTCTTCAATTCTACTTAAAAGTTGATTATTATGTATTATTAATACATCACGTAATTTTATTGTTTGTTGATGAAAATCATTTTTATTTGCAATTGTTTCAATCGGTAAATCATTATTATGATTAACAAGTAATTTTAATTGTTCAAGTTGCATATTTGTTAATTGACGACATGAACATATTTCACCAATACGTTCTTTAATTAACTTAAAAGAAAAAATTATTTGTATATAAAGAGTTTTTTTTTTGTTTTTTATTGTATTAAAAACAAACTTTAAATTGACTATTATCTCGTTGAAGTTGATCAATTTTATTTTGTAATTGTTTAATAGTACCAGTTTCTAATTGACGATATTTTTTTTCTAAATTATGATATTTAGCTTCTGTTTCTTCCCATTTCTTTTTATAATTTATATTTGATTTTTCTTCATTGAGATTTGTTGTTGATTGATTAGAAATAGAAGTTGAACTTGTTTTAGGTTGTAATTTATGTGGAGTTTCTTTTAATTTTTCAATTTCAGGAATTTGAACTAAAAAAAACGAAAGACTAAGACAAAAAAAAAAACGTTCAATTTCTATTGTTCACCTTTTTGTTGTTGTTGATAAACACGTGTATCTTCTTGTCTTAATGTTTCACGTTCATCGACTCGAGTTGTATATTTTCTTAATAATTCCATTAATGAAGAAGATGTAGATTCATCTTTATTTGAAGAATTTTTATCCATGAAAAATTATTTTAATCTTAAGATAAAATTCATTCATTTAATATAGATAGTAATTAGTTAAAAATCTAATATATCATAATTAATATTATCTAGTCGATTAGTTTAATAAAGATTGATTAAAAGTTTAAAGAAGATCTATTTATGAAAAAACTTATAAGAAACAATAATTCTAGCAAGAAAAAAAAAACACTAGAACAAAAAAAAATCAGAACATGACATGAGAAAAAAAAAGAGAATTTGATTATCCAAACTGCATGATCAATAAAAAAAAAATCTAAAAACGTCAGGCGATGATCATATTGACATTAGTTGTTCAAAACAAACGTTTTATGATATTGATTTGTCATGAAACGATTCTATTAAATGTGCAAGTCGGAATATAATTTCGGACGAATTTCTACAGTTTTTGCTACGCATCTATATTCACAATAATTTATATCACAGCTTTTTTATTTTCGAATTTATATGAAAGTTAAACTTCGAATGATTGTAAATTATATAAATTTAATGCTTCATATGATTGAATAATAATTGAAGAATATGTTTTACTATTTATATCATGAATTAAACACATATTACAAGCTATTTTTTTAATATTATGTTGTTTATAGTCTTGTTGATCAGTTTGATCAATTAAAAATAAACCTTGATCACCATCAGCAAATAACCATCGATAATTATCAATAGGATATAATATTCCAATCCAATTTCTAAAACTATTTTCTTGTTGAATTGTTCTACCACGACGTATTTTATTCATTGTTAATATATCAAATATATCAATTCTCCAAGAAAAATTATTTTCTTTTATTGTCATACCAAGATATTGATTTATAGCTCGAATACAATTAATACCTATATCTAAAGATTCAATTAAATTATCTTTTAACCATGTATTTAATAAAGTTCCACTATTAGAATTAAATTCCCATTGTTCAATTGAAAAACCAAATAAATAACAAATAAATATATATTTTGATGTTTGTGTTATTGACCAAATAATATTAGAAAATTTATGAATTATTTCAATTTGTCTATTTGATGATAATGAATAAATTGTATTTGAACTTGATAAAAGAAAACAATTTAATATTGAATGAAAACATATATCTGATATTGGACTTTCAATAAATGGAGTATTTGATATAGAAAATATAATTTCAAATTTTGGTAAATTAAATAATATTAATGTTTGATGATGATAAATAAGTAAATTATTATAATTATCTGTTGCCATTGGACATGATGACATTGATGGAAGAATAAATGTTGATATTGGTTGACGATTATCTAACATTGTTATTTCATTAGAAGTAGTTTTTAACGTACTCAAATGAAAAGATAACTCATCAATGTCTGTCTCCATTACAATTTCTTTTTTTTTCTATCTAAACAAATCAAATTGATAGATTCTATCTTCTGTTTTCAATTATATTTTATATTATTTTATGAGATTTTTTTTCAACTAATTTAACTAATAACGCTTTCTAATAAATATTTTCTTTCCATAAAAAAACAAACTATACGCTAGATGACGATGAGCCAGCACTATATGAAGAACGACTAGGAATCGAAAAGGTATATGAGGTATACTCATTTTTGAAGCCTCTAACTTTCTCCTATCGCTGCATTTTTCCTCGTATTATATAATATACTACAATAAATAAAATTTGTATATTATTTATTCAATAGATGGACTTGTAGTACTTTCACATATTGTTTTTGGATAGCTCGTATAATCCGAGTTGAAATTCAACTAGATTATTTTTCCAGATTGGTTAGATTTCATTAGCTAAGAAAAGCAAAACAAAAAAAGAACAAACTATTTTCATTTAGAACCGATCGAAAGTCACTTTGAAACATACATAGATGGATGTTGTCCATCGAAGCTTGTTGGTTAACTGATCCAAATTTTATATGATCAGTATATGTAGTCATGTAATCAGACAGTTCGTTTGTCTGACTTTAGAAAAGATAAAACTAATTGACATTCTCAACTTTTTCTTATGAATATAATCGTTGATTCAAATAATCAACATATATGATAAAGTTTTTAAACAAAGACCAAACAATTTATTTATTTTTATGTGTTCGCATATTGTTTGGTTAAAAACTTCTTTTTATTTTCATCATTGTTTTTTTCACATAATATTCGACAACTTACAATTTAATTTAGTTCGTTGGTGTCTGAAATAAAAAAAATACAATTAGAACTTGACTTTTATAGAGGATTTAATGCTTATTTCAAAGTAAGGGTGGTTAGGAATTTTTTAAATAACTTTTCATGAAAATGAGATAGAGAGTTACGGCTATCACTCTTGAAAAGAGAAGATGAAGTTGGATCGAATAGTATATTACAAATTTTTTCGACCTAGGTTTTTTTAAGGTTTTCAATTGATCTTTTCGAAAACCAACGTACTCTGTGAGGTAACTATAGTGAATTTTCAATTATCAAGTGTACATTCGAACTGCCAATGAAAGATTTACAAAACTACGCAAATCTAAGATTTTTAGATTTAGTTATTCTGGAGTCATAGATATTCTAGTCAAAATTCTCGGTCGATTTTTCAAGTAGTTGTTCTGAAAAAAAATCATATTTTTGCTTTTTTTCTTATGTTGAAGGCAATCATTTTTCGAAATTTTTTTTTTTTTATAGATTTGATTGAAAAAAAACTTCAGAAAACATCTTGGGAGACTATATAATATATGATTTGATGCAACTTCATCTCCTCTTTCCAATGATGAAAACTTTCTACGTTAACTTTCATATCCTCTGATTAGCAGCGATATGATCATCATATTAGTTGAACATTAAAGTGGGTCAAAACATAATTTGTTACATCCGATTTGAAAGAATGATAAAAATACTTGTAGTTTCTATAATTATATAATTTCAACTGTACTCTATTATAGGAAAACAAATAGACTTGATGTGAGAGATACGTTTGAAAAGAACAGAAGTTGAAAGAACTCTTTTAGTAACATTTGATATCGAATTTTTTTTTCTCATTCAAAGTTAATCTGAAAAAAAAACTTTTTTTCCTATGTTTTTTGAAACTCAGACTTTATTCTTTCAATATGAAATAGACCAAACTTTTAAGGATATTTCTGAGTAGAAAAAACATGGGTCGAAGTTTCAGCAAATACTTTTGCATTGCAAGTTAACCCATTTTAAAAAGTCTATAAATTCGATTCATATGTAAAATGCCATAGGATATGCTTTCATTCTTTTCGTTGTCTATAGATAAAATCCATAAAATAGATTTTTTTTTTTTCATTATTTGTAGTCAAATTCAATAAACAAAAGAAATGTTTGATAATATATTTTTTCATGCAATGAAAACAAACGAACCAGAAATAAAAACATAACTCTGAAAACTAAATGTAATAATAATAAATTAAAAGTTTTTTTTTTCCCGTCTCGTCATTATCGAATAAAACAATTAAGAAATAAGAGATTCCATACACAGCACATTCATACACACACGGCCAAATAATGAAGAAAAAAAAAGAACAAAGAAAAAAAAGAGATGTCTGTCGATGTTTTTTGTCTCCTATTCCGAAAATATTTATTGACAATAAACGTTAAGTTGAATACAACATTGAAGAAGAATCTTAACAGCCGGCATATATTGACTTGTTTCAGCTAAATTTTCACTTGCAACTAATTGATTATAGATTGTAAGTGATGTTTGATAATCATATTGACGAATATAACCTATTATTTGATGAATACCTTGTAAAGCACTTTGTGGAACCTAAAAAAATAAAAGAAACACAATATTTGTCTTTTTATTGAAATATTAGAAGATAAAATTTACTCGATTTTCTCGAAGTTTATCATATAAAACATCAAGTTTCTTTTTTACTTCATCTAATTTTCGTTTTAATGGTAATTGTTGTGTTGCTTGTTGACATCGATTAACAAGTAAATCAAATGTATCTTGTATTATTTGATGTTCACTTGGTAATGGACCTTTAACAACAGGTGCAGGTGGAGGAGGTGGAGTTGGTGCTTTCCGAACTGATTGTTCAAGTGATGAAGGAACAGTATGATGAATAAAATCAGATGTTGTTGCTGTTGTTGGAGGAAACATAGATGCTGTTGGTTGATTTGCTATTGTTGGATTAAAATGAAATGTTGGTTGAGGAGGTTCATTAACTATTGGAAGAAATTGAGTATTCGTTGAAGTAAAACCATCTGTAGAAGGGCCAGGAGGCTAAAAATTTTGATTAAAATTAATGATTAAAAAGAATAATAAAGAATAGATAGATTTTACTTTAGATGGATTTGGTTTTGATGTTTTCATCATAACTGTTGGAGGATCATTCCATGCACCAACTGGTTTAGAATCTTGATAAGATGGAAGTAAAGGAGCTACGGGTGGTACACTTGAAAGATCAGTTGATGGTGGTGCTTGTGGTACTGGAGTTGAATGTCCTAATAAAAAAAAACAAAAAAAAAAGATGAATAGTTTAGATAAAATAAAAAGAAAATATCGGTAAAAACAAACCATGAACAAATTGTTGATTAGACATTATTGGTGTTGGTGTGTAATGTTGAGGAACAGCAGTAGTAGGATTATAAACAGTTGGTTGATAAGATGGAACAACAGGTTGTGTTGGGTATCGACTAAAATCAATCGAATGCAAAAATAAAATCTTGTATGTTTTTTTTTTTCGTTTAGTCTTCAGATATTTACTTGGTTATTGGTGCAGTTCCTGGTCTTATATTAAGATCACTAGTTGGATTTTGTGGTGATGACCAATTAAAATTCGTTGGTGGTACTAACGGTTGTTCAGGAAGAGGTTGAGGTCGAAAATGTTGTGGCATAGTTGAACTTGCTTTTCGTTGTTGTTGTTGTTGTTGTTGCTGCTGCTGTTGTTGTTGTTGTTGTTGTTGTTGTTGTGGTGTAGGAATATCAACTCTTCGAAATGGAGTTGGTGGTTTTGGAATACCAGTCAATTGATTTGTTGGCAAACCATAATAAAGACGATCACGTAGAATAACAAGTTCAGGCTAAATTTAAAAAAAAAAGAAAAATGAAAATATTTATTTATTTCTATTAAATATATAGAATTTACTGTTTGTAAATTTCCTAAATAAACAAGTGCTGCTCTTGCACAACCTTCATTAGCTAATAATTGTCCAAATAAAGCTAAATGTCGACTAATTGATGGTCCATCCATAGATGGTGATGTTGTAACTGTTTTCTTTTGTTGTTGTTGTTGTTGTTGTTGACATGCAGTAGCATGGTCTAATGAACGTTTAAGAACAAATAATTTTTCAATTAATTGTTCTAATTGTATTGATGACATTCCTTGTTGTTGATATTTACTTGACCAAGCTAGAGTAAATTGTTCCAAATTTCCCGTACAAATAAAACATATTGATGCATATGTACGATATGAATCATTTGTACCGGCATGTTGTTTAAGTAAATGATAACCAAGTTTATTACATAAATCAATAAATGTTGAACCAGTTGTATATGTAAGAAGTGCAACAAGTATATCACGCCAATTAGTCATATTACTTGATTCAATTAAACGTGACCAATCTTGATTTATAACAATATCAATTAACTAAACAAAAGAAAAAAATTTAAATAAATGAAATTTTTGTTTTTTATTTTTTTTCTCAAACTTTAGTTGTTGGTGTTTGAATTTTTTCAAAATATCGTTTTTGTGTTAAATATAAAAGTTCTTGACCACCAAGATGAGCAAGAAGAAGTGCATCTGTATAACGTTGTTCATGAAAACATAATTCAACAGCAGCTTGAAATTGTCCTAACATAATACATCGACTCAATAATGCTTCGATTTCTAAAAAAAACAAAAAAAAAAAACATTTAAATCAATAAAATAATCTTTTTGTTTTACCAGCATTTGAAATTTTTTTAATTTGTTTATCATCAATATGTAAACCATTAATAGCATCAACTGGTAAATCATGTTTATTATCTTTAATTAATATTTGAATTTTTTGTAAAATATCATCACTATGAAAACCTAATAATTCAATATATTTATATCTTGGATCATTTTCAAATGAAGCACGTAAAAAACGCCATAAAATTTGTTCATCTTGAGATAATAATTTTGAAGATATTTGATAATCACAATAATCAAGTAATGTACCAGTTTGTAAAATTGAATCAAATTTTTGAACAGCTTCAACAAATACATGATCAACAACAACTTGTTCAATAATAACAGGTAGACGACGATTAGTAGTACTTGTATTTGGAGATGATGGACCTGATTCTGTTGTTAATGGACTTGGTGGATGTTGAACAATGACTAATTTACCACCAAACTAAAAAAAAAGAAAATATGTGAAAAGAGTTTTATTTTTTAAATAAAATTTTTTTTGTTTTACACCAAAGGAAACTCTTGTTTGACGTCGCATCCATTTTGGTGCATATTTAATAGGTAAAACATCATGTGTAGTTGTTGATGGAAGTGTTTCTGATGCTGGAAGTCCATCACCAAATGCTTGAGTAAATAATTGATTATTAACTGGACGAGAAACTTGACATGAACCACCCATTAATGTATATATACTTAATGTACCATCATATGATGCAGCTGATATTAAATTTGGATCAACTAAATTTTTCGAAAATAATGAATTTTATTTCAATTGAAAAGTAAAGAAGAAAAAAAAACCAATTTCTCATACCAAGACACCATTTAACATCAAAACACCAATGATTACATGGGATTTCATAAACAATTTCAGCCATAACACTTAAGTCATTTGGATTCCAACATATTATTTTATTATCTTTACCACTTGACATTAATAAATTACTATCATTTGGTGACCATTGTAAATCCAGAATTCCCCTAGAAAAAAAAAAAAATTTCATAATAAAAATCTCTTAGTACAATCTCTGAGGTATTAAAATATCAAACACAATCTAGTTGCCATTGCTAATCACAGAAGATTGTTTTATTCTGTCTATTCTTCACCTTTCTTTTACTTATTCCTACAGAAATACAATAAGAAAATAATTTATATATTGGAAAGAAGCTGTTATTCATATACGGTCGATGCGGGAAGGAACAAACTTCTATCCTATATAGTTCAGCACTTCTTTCAGATCATATTTTACAATAAAGAATAAATGAAATGTAACCTTGTATGTCCACTAAGTAATTTCATAGGACTAGCTCCATAACGAAGATCCCATAATTGTATAGATGCTGATTGATCTTCTTCACTTGCTAAACATAATTGACTTGTTATATCTGGATGCCAAACAAGACGATTTGCACGCATACGATATGTTGAATCAGTTATTTTAAAAATTGGTTCATTACTTGATCTTAAATCCCAAATAAGAGTTTTTCCACCAAGTGTTGAACCAAGTATATGAGATTTTTGTCGATTCCATGCAACACATTGAACATCTTCATCAATATGATGACTTGTTGATGATGTACCACCAGGAACCATAGGTTGTTTAAGATCATTTAAATCCCATATCATTAATTCAGAATTTGATCCACCACTTGCAAATAAATTTGATTGAAGAATATTTATATCAATTGAATAAACACTTCCAGTATGTTTATCAAGTTGTTGAGTTATTGTTTGAACCGTTGGATCAACTAAATAAATACGACCTTTTTCTGTAGCACCAATTAATAAATTTGATGATGACCAAATTAATTTATTAAAACTAAAAAAAAAAAGAATAAAAATTAAATTCTAAAATTAATTAGAAAAAAAAACCAAAACAAACCGATGATCTGTTTTGACTGATCCAATTGGTGCCATTGCCATACTTCTATCAGCTAAATTAACTTCAAATAATTCTAATTGTGAATTTGTACTATAAAAAATAAAAAAGGTTTTTTTAAATTTTTCAATGATTAAATTCTCTTAAATTAAACTAACCTAAAACTTGCATCAAGTTGTTGTGCAGCTGTACCAGTCATTAAATAATTTCCATTTGTTTTTTGTTCTTGACTTTTAACTGGTGACCAAGCAACATGAACAGTTCGATCAATTTCTTTTAATTTCATTTTTATTTTAAATCAAAATCAAAAAATTCAAAATCTAAAAGCAATTTATTACATATATATATATATATATATTATTATTATTATTATTATTCTAATTTGTTTAAAATAAATTACATGAAAAAAACCAATCATATATATATCTATATACAGAAAAAAACAATTTTTTTTATAATTTTTTTTGTTTTTCATGAAACATTTATTAATCAAAAATAGCTCCACAAAATTGACATCGACGTCGTCGCATTGCTAAACAACATAGAATACCAATTGGAAAAAGGAAGATTGCACAACAAATAGCTAAACATGTAAAATCAGTTTCCAACATACCGACCTAAATAACAAAAAATAAAAATAAAAAGATCTATCTTAACAAATAAATCATAATAGACATACTTTACAAACTGGACAACCGCCCAAAATAATAACTGTGGGTTGATGAGAACCTAATGCATATGGATAAGATGAAACAGTTGTTGTAGTAGGTGATGTTGTTTCAACATGACCAATAAATGTTCCATATGAATCTGAACCTTGAAATAAATGAATATTTTTGACATTTTATTCATAAAAAAGTAAAGTATTATACCAGTATTAGTTACGTTTTGATATGGCGGAGGATTCTCATTTTCATCAATGATTAATTTTTGTTGATCCATTGAAATATTTGATGTCATTCTAAATATATATTGAATAAAATTTTGTTTCAATATATGACTTAAATTAGTCAAAATTGAAAAGATTACCACGTCGACTATCTCGATTTATTTTCTGATTGGTTAATAAAATCCATGATGAAAATTTTTTTTCCTTCAACTGTTTCGTATATTCTATATATTTTTTTATAATTACAATTATTTATATAATATTTAAAATAATAAACAATTTTTTAGATTTATTGAAATAAATTTCTTTTAAAAAAACTATAATTAAAACAGCTGACTATGACTCATTGATTGATTCTTATCAGTTGTGTGAGTACATTATAAATCATTTTGTTATCTTTGTATTTACGCGAAAGTTTTTCGATTCACAAAAACAAAAATTCTACAACTATTTCAACTTTAAAATATGGCGTGTATTAGTTTTTTTGCATGCGTTTATCGTATTATAATGGCGTAAGTTAATATTATTATAATTTATCTCGAATCTTGTTTTTTGTTTTTGTTTTTGTGAATTAGATTTACTCGTGCTATTGTATTTTCAATATTTCCAGCTCCAAAAAAATCTATCAATGATGAAATTGTTCTCATAACTGGTTCCGGTGGTGTTTTAGGTCGTGCACTTGCTATTGAATTTTCAAAATATGGTGCATTTCTTTGTTTATGGGATATTGATGAAGTTGAAAATCAAAAAACATATGAATTATTATCTACGCAATATAATCATCGTCGAATGGTTGCTATGAAAGTTGATATAACGTTTGTTATTTTCATCTTTTTTTTGTATGATCAAATAATTTTTCTTTTTTTTCCATATAGAATACCAGAAGAAATTCATCGAGCAGCAGAAAGGATCCGACTTGATATTGGAAATGTATCAATTGTTGTACAAAATGCAGGTGGAATTGAATATTAATAAATATATTTTATATAATGAGAAACTTACTGTTTAGCACAGGTGTGGTGACATGTAAAAATGTCCTCGATCTTAATCAGGAAGATATTAAACGGACATTTAATGTTAATGTTATATCACATTATCATGTAAGAATTAAATGAATATATTATTTTCAAAAATATAATCTTTGTTTCTTTTTATATAAGATTAATCAAGCATTTCTACCAGCTATGATTGAACGACATTATGGTAGCAAAAAAAAAAAATTTATTGAAGAATTAATATAAATAATTGATATTGTATTTATTTAGGACACATTGTAGCTATTGCTAGTAATTGTGCTCTTTTTGGTTTATCACATTTAGGTGATTATTGTGCATCAAAATTTGCAATTATTGGTATGATTAAAAAACAAAATAATTCTTTTCATATTAATTAATTTCAGTTTTGTTTAGGTTATATGGAATGTGTTGAAGATGAAATTTTTCGATCGAAATGTTCAGGAGTTAATACAACGAGTTTGTTAAATTATTTTCTTTTTCTTTTTCAAAAGTATTTCTTGTTTGATTTCAGTTGTTATTCTTGGTCCATTAAAAGGTGGTCTCAATAAACGTGTTACAGAAATTGTTATGTAAATATTATTACTATTTTTCTTTTGTAACTTGGATTTATTTATTGATGGTTTTTTTTGTTTTAGTCCTGATTCTGTTAATTTTCTTCCCGCAAGTTTTTGTGCACAAAGAATTGTTGAAGGTGTAATAACTAATCAAAAATTTTTATATATTCCAAAATTCTATCGTTTATTGGAATTTGTTAAAAGGTAAAGAAATTTCTTCAAAAGAAAAAATCATTATTTATTATTTTAATATCAATATTTTATTATTTAGTTTTCTTCCATATGATGCATTTAAGGCAATTCTTAGTTATGTACTCAATGTACATGATCCAAATTTAAAACGAAATCGTTCACGAAAACCTGCTCGATTATGAACTACAAATGAATTTTTCTTGTGTCACTCCTCTTTTTCTTTTCTTTCTTTTGTCATACATGTGATTGCATCTATTCGTTGCACTTGGATAAGAAAATAAAAAAAAGTATAGAAATTCCTTTTTTTTTTTTTTTTTTTTAATTAAATACATCAGAATGACAGAAAAAAAAAACTGGGATTTATGTTTTGAACGGAGGAACTGTTTAACAATAATAATCAAAAGAAAAGAAATGAAAATAAAGAATTATAAAATATATAAATATATACTTGAAAAAGATTTTGCTTTTATTTCGTTGTCTTCTAACGAACAGTACGAATACTTTCAGTTTGTTGTCGAATAGCACGATCAATAATTGAACGTATAGGACGTTCTATTAAACCATTTTTTGATATTGTATGAAAAAGAATAGCTGCTTCAGCTAAATATTCATGTTCTTCAAGTAATTGTCGAGCTGTTCGCCGTTTTTTTGGATTATAAATTAATATATCCTATTTATTTTAATATTTATAATATAAAACAAATCAATTAAAAAAAAAAAAACAATATTTTACTTTAAGAAATTGTCGACATTCATTAAATATTGGTAAACGAGAAAGTTGAACATCGTCGAGAGGAAATCTTGGTAAACATGTTTGATAATAAAGACATTGAGCAATTTCAGGCCATTCTGAAACTGTTGGTGTACCCAAAAGACTAATTCAAGAAACAAAAAACAAAAAAAAATGAAAGAATTCACAATATTACAAAAAACAAATATATTTACCGAAAGATAAGTAATAATTGATCAATTTCACATTCACCACGAAATAATGGTTCTCGTAGTGTCATTTCAGCAAATACACAACCAAAACCCCAAATATCTAAAGCCGTTCCTAGAAACAATTTCGTCATTATTTATTTAATTGAAATTTAAAATAAATAAAAAGAAAAAAGAAGTTCAATTAACCATAAGTAGGTGCATTAAGTAATACTTCAGGTGGACGATACCATAGTGTCACTACTTCATGTGTTAATGTTCGTTCAGGCATATGACATTGACGAGCTAAACCAAAATCAGCTAATTTCAAATGACCTATTGTAATAAAATGAATCATTCTTTTCAAATCTAATTAATAAATCAATAATAACCTTCATAATCAATTAAAATATTCGGTGGTTTTAAATCTCGATGAAGCTAAAAACAAGCAAATCAATATAACAGACAACGAAAAAAAAAACAAACTAATATGAATTCTTACAATACGATGACGATGAAGACATTCAATAGCACTTAATAATTGATAACTATAACTCTATATACAAAAACAATAAAAAATTCATTTCAATCAATCGAAAATGTTTACTTTAACAAGTCTCGGACTAAGTCGTTCACCTGGTCCAAGTGCATCCATATATCTTTTAAGATCAATTGGAAGAAATTCAAGATATAAACATAAATGATTACAACCACTATTATATGATGGTTCAAATGCGACATGATTTAATCTAAAACAATAAATAAATAAATTAAAATAAAACAAAAAAAAATTATCAATATCAAACTTACTTAATAATACTTTCATGTTGAATTGATTTAAGAACAGCTATTTCTCTGACAGCTGTCGCTGGTAATTCATTTTCTTCTTCTTGTTTACTTGTTAGTTTAATTATTTTACGTGCAAGACGTTGACGTGTATTTATATGACGTACACATTCAACAATACCATATGTACCTTAAAAATAAAAATAAAACATAAAGATAAACATTAGAAATATATTAAATTAAAACCTGAACCAAGTGTTGATTCAGCAATCCAAAGTGATGTTGGTGGTCGAATTAAAGAACTTGAACTTCGACTATACTGCATACTCCAATGATAAATGTTGTTATTATTTTTATCTGACTTGTTATCTTGTACTAATCGAACGAACTAATGATATTAAACGGTCTGTAATAGGTACAATTGTGATTTAGACAAAAGAAAAGAATAGAATAGAATAGAAAGGAAAACAATAGAAAATGTACTGACTATAAATGTTATCCTATGTTAGTAGACAATGAAAACAAAAAGAAGATGTCCATGAATTCATATTGCATTCTAATTTACGTTGTTTCGGAAGAAAAAGGGAAGAATATTCAACGATAATATCTTCATTATATTATTATAGATGAATAAAAAAAAAGAATATTCTAAATAATCTATTATATACTTTCCGAAAAGATCGAATGCTGTAAAAATACATATTCCTTAAGAATAAATAAACATATATATTCTCTGTGATTAGTATCATATAAAATTTTAGAAATATATAACAACATGAAAATATCTCTACATATTCTTACTGTGTTTTGTATTACAATCATGTAACATTGTCATCATTGGAAAATAAATAAAGTCTAAAAATTGCATTTCAAACAAATACATAGTCTGAAGGTTTAGTATACTATATGAATATCGAAAAAGAAAATAATTTATTGATAAAGTTTTCTATAAAATTGAACTTCTTCTATGCTTTTAATTATATGTTAAAAGATAAAGTTTTACTCAATAAATATTTAGAATGAAAATTCACGATATTTATATACAAAATAAACATGTTTCATTTTTTCTTTAAAATGACAAATATAAGATCATCATGTTGAAATTTGATCACATATACGTATGATATATATATGTGTGTGTGTGTGTGTCTGTAAAATAGAATTTGTTTTTTTTTTATTTATACATTAATGAAACTTAACACAACAATGTATTCACATGTAGAGAATGAAGTTCAAAATTTTCTACATGCACTATTGGATTTCTGAAACCCATACGTTTTAATTTTGCACAATTGACATGTTTTATATTGATGATAAAATCCTTGGTTGCAGTTATCAAATGTTGATATCTTATTCGAAGCTTTTTCACAGAGAGTAAATGTGTATTTGTGTCAAGATATTGTTCTCTACATAATCGAAGTCTACGACAATAGGTCGCACTGTTGAAAAATAAAAAAAGACAAAAACAATTTCCTAGTATTATGGAGAAATAACTCGTAGAGATTCAGAAAATAACTAACAATCTACTAAAGGGTAAGAAACACTAGATGTGAGTATACATACGAATGTTTAGTGAACTCTTCTAATTGAACATGAAGCTTTACACAAGAGTAAGTAGTACCTGTTTTAAAAACTCTCATAATCCTCTATAGTTTTTTCCTTATTATCATCGAATTTTCGATTAATACCAACAAGTGAATATAGTATATCAATATTATTTTATTTCTTGTAAATAATCAGTAAAATTTCATCCGCTAGATTAAAAATGCTAACAAGTAAATTAGTCATGCTAATTCTACTTCGCAATTCTCTTAAGAGCATTGTATATTTAAATAAACATCTGCGTTTCGATAAAGTGCATTATATATAAGTGCTCAATACCGTCCTTGACACCACTTCTAATTGCTACGTCATTAATTATAGTCAAACTTGGACGACATGTCTTTTGAGCGTCAAAAAATAAGACAATTAAGCATCAAATTAGTTATAGGTGAAAAGAGCATCAAAATATAAGACAATTAAACATCAAATTAGTTAAGTGTGAAAAGAACATCGAAAAATAAGGCAAATGAGCAACAAAAAACAAGACAATTGAGCACCTAGTTGGTTATAGATGAAAAGAGCATAAAAAAATAAGACAACTGACCACCAAATTCAAACATGTGAAATAAGAACAAAAAATTTTTATATTAATAACAAATAGGATACATAATAGATATGAGTACTAAATCAATATGCAAAAAAAAAAATGAAAAGTCCATTTTATAATAATAAAGCATATCGTACTTTTTTTGCTCGACCTTTTGCTTGTCGTTTACCTAGAAGCTCCGAACGAGTTTTATCAGTTAATTCATAATGTTTCAGTAATATTGCTCAGCCAACTGAATATTTGCATCAATATAACTTCGTGCCAGTTGGACATGTACATAATTTGAGTGGAGAAACTACCAAGCAGGATGTTAGGTGTAGGTGTAAGGAGAGGATCTACTCGTGCACTCATACCCACACCCACACTCTTGATTAGCTTTATCGAGTGTTTGGACGATATTCAAAAATTGATATTCTTTGTTTGGCATTTTATAGCTCTTCACAGAAATATGTATTATTATAATTCTCAAATTTGTCGTACAGTGCGGGCCGTAAAAAGCATGTACTTTTTTGTTTTTACGCATAAATGAGTAAAAAGGATAGTCTGAAGATTTTCTTTCATATCAGAGTTTGTAGAGAATTTTTCGCTGATCATTTTGGTAAAAAAAGTTTTTAATTTTCATTGAATAATAATGATTTTATAGCCAAAATACTAAACACTGTAAAAAATAGTAAAGAAAAAAGTTTAGCAAACTTTTAGTATTTGGCTAATTTCTACGTTATTTCACCACGTCTAAAAGATGTTCTATATACCATTCGATGCAGAATTTCACGGGCTACATTTTGGTAACAAGCACTTAAATTTATTATAGTTAGTTATTAATTAACTATTGGTTAATTATTAGTTAATTATCAGTTAATGGTAATTAGTAAATAGTTAATAAAATTTCGATTTGTTTTTAAATTCTGACTCTTTCATATGAAAGAGCATTAAAAACTGAACAAAACTCTATAATTACTATTTGGAAAGCAACGAATTTAGTGAGGTTTTAGCGTGATTTTCAGAGTATGGTCTTCTGTAATTAGATATAGTACTCATTATTTTCAATAAATTCAAACATGAAACGACACATGAAATACGCGCAAACTGGCGCATTTTAAAGAGTATCATTTGCCCTTTCAAATGACATGTCGCTGCTTTCTCTCCGATATTCTATACAAATATTACAATGTCTTTCGAAATATAGAATGCAAAAATACAGAAAAATGGCTAGAAGAGATAGCTTAAATTAGTTCTTACAACTAAAGACATTGTAACATTTGTATAGAATATCGGAGAGAAAGCAGCGACATGTCATTTGAAAGGGCAAATGATACTCTTTAAAATGCGCCAGTTTGCGCGTATTTCATGTGTCGTTTCATGTTTGAATTTATTGAAAATAATGAGTACTATATCTAATTACAGAAGACCATACTCTGAAAATCACGCTAAAACCTCACTAAATTCGTTGCTTTCCAAATAGTAATTATAGAGTTTTGTTCAGTTTTTAATGCTCTTTCATATGAAAGAGTCAGAATTTAAAAACAAATCGAAATTTTATTAACTATTTACTAATTACCATTAACTGATAATTAACTAATAATTAACCAATAGTTAATTAATAACTAACTATAATAAATTCAAGTGCTTGTTACCAAAATGTAGCTCGTGAAATTCTGCATCGAATGGTATATAGAACATCTTTTAGACGTGGTGAAATAACGTAGAAATTAGCCAAATACTAAAAGTTTGCTAAACTTTTTTCTTTACTATTTTTTACAGTGTTTAGTATTTTGGTTATAAAATCGTTATTATTCAATGAAAATTAAAAACTTTTTTTACCAAAATGATCAGCGAAAAATTCTCTACAAACTCTGATATGAAAGAAAATCTTCAGACTATCCTTTTTACTCATTTATGCGTAAAAACAAAAAAGTACATGCTTTTTACGGCCCGCACTGTATGTATACAGAGTTACTCGTTTGCGTACCATAATTTACAAAAAGGAATGAGATTATACAATTTGAGTTGAGCTTGTCATAACTTAGCATCTGTTTATATCCGAATAATAGTTTGATTCTTTTAAAATAGAATTGATGTATCTTTTTAATATCTTTTTTTCATTTGGTGCATATTTCACATGTAATAAATTTGATGCTCATTTATCTTATTTCTTGGTGCTCTCATCACCTATAACTAATTTGGTGCTCAATTGTCTTTTTTTTTAGTGCTCAAAAAGACATTTTTTTCCGTCAAACTTGATCATAAATGAATTAATTGCGTTCATTCATTCATATAGAGTATGATGGAATGCATACAGATAAAAAAATGATTATGTTCATCTATATATCAACTATAAGTTATTTTTGCATTTTTTTTTGAAAAATTTTCTTTACAAGATCTCTACTTATTTCTCTGTTCTATTGATTGATCAAATCTATTCCTCGAAGCATTGTGAATATGTATAATAAACAAAATTTAAAGAATGAATTTCATCAGTAGATAGATGGGCAAGTCAGTTAGGTATATTATGACGAAAATTATTCCATAAAAATTAAAAATAAAAAAATTCTTGTCAATATATAGGTGAGTTTAGCGCTTTTTCTGTCTACATTCATCTCAAATTACATTAAAGATTTGGTTGAATGAGTGCCAAGGATAATCATAAAGAAACATGCAATCGACACTCAATTCTAAACAACTAGTTCAGCATCCAATTTCCATCTTCTAATTATCACGATGATGAAGATGAGATAAGATAAAAACAAAAAAAAAAAAACATATTTTTAAGTTACAATATTGCTATTCCGTCTTAAGAAGTTTGACTGAAAATGAAACAAAAAAACTTTGGAGAAAATAAAATTCTGCTTTACCTTAAATATTCTTCAAGAGATGATGATTATATTTCTCTTTGATTATTTTTATTCTATATTTAACCGAATTTTTCACTGGACAACAATGATTTTATATTCGCGTTCTACTGAGGAAATCTTCTATTTGTATTTATATTCATTATTCATTATAATATTATCGTTAATCGGGCTAAATGTATTGTCGTGACACTTTTTAGTTAGTAGCCATGCATCTGGCGATCGATAAAAAATTAAATAAGTAAGCAGATTGAATATCCTATGATGTTTTGAGGAAATAATCACGCAACCATTATTTAAGAGAAGAATAAATGTGTACCCTCTCCCATTATTATTATTATCACGTTCTTACTGTGTGGCTCTCTCCAAAAAAAAAAAGAAATTGTTGCGCTATTCTATTGTAGTCATTTTCGAAAATATACTTTAATTTTAATAATGGCTGCAAATTGGTTAGAATTTGTTGGATCAATAAGCATGTTAATTAGTACTGCTATTGCCTTAGTAGTTTCATTTATCTATCTGATTGTTATAACTTTATCTCAAGGTCGAAATCTATCAGTTTCATCACTTCTTGCAAGCAATACATTTTTATCGTCATTAATTTATAGTTCAGTTCATTTCACTATTGCTATATCGGTATTAAGAAGTGATATTGCTGTTATTGATGGTGTTCGAAATCAATTATATAATCCATTTTGTATGTCTTCGGCATTTGTTTTTTACAGTGGTTGTGCTCTACTCTACTATTCATATGTAATGGAGGCTATGCAACGTTTTACTCGTGTTGTTTTATATGATTATCAATGGTTACATAAACGTCGTGTTCAATTTCTTTTTATTATATTTCAATGGTTATTCTGTATTCTTGGAACATTTATACCATTATCTATCACAAATCAACTTCAATATGATATTTATATGAATATGTGTATAATACCAATTCGTTCTAGTGGTTGGACTATGTATTATGCTATATATTGCTATACTATTCCACTTGTATTAATTGCATATTTTTATCATCATTTAATTCAATATATTATAAGTGTACGTAGACGTGTTAGTGCCTGTCTTATATCAGGATCAATAATTGTTGCTGCACAACGTCAATTAGCTCTGATTCAACGTGTTATTGCTCTTGTTAGTATTCTTATTGCTAGCGGATTACCGTACTGTGCATTCATTTTTATGGGTTTCTGGATGGATCCACCTGTGTATCAATTTCGAATTAGTTTTCTTTGTGTTGATATTGCACTTGCAAGTGTAGTTTGTACTATGTTTTGTTATTCAAGAGATATAAAACGATTAAGAAGAGTCTAAATATTATATTGAAACAATAGAAGTCGAACAACAAGTCGTGTACATCAACGATATTCAATTCAACGTTAAAAATATAGCAAACAATAATTATTCAACTAAAGAAATTCACAAAAAGCTTGGTTCAATTAAAAACAAAAACATTGATTGTCTTAATTCTTCTTTTGTTTTTGTTCATAATTTTTAGTAGTAAAACATTTTTGAAAATTTTTCAAATATGTTCACTTTATTTAACAAAATCTGAAACTATATTTTTTTTAAATATCAATTGAACTTTTCATAAACAATATTTCGACTTTGAAACGTCATTTGCAACGTAATTTATCATATACAGTAGTCGCAAGAAATTCCAATACTAAGATTGTTTTTTTTCCCTAGAGTCTAAAAACAAAAAAGACTTTGTCTATATTGTTTCATAGATAGAGTGCTTCAGTACATTGTAGTCTTGAGGTGCGAAGAAGCTATCATTGTCTTGGACGATTTCTTCTTCATCAATGCCTACAATCGTGAAATTTTTAAGAAAAACTTCACTAGAACGGGACAGTTATTGAAGAAAATTTCTAAGCGAATGGTTAAAATTAGCCGAAGATATGAGTTATTTTTCAACGATTCTCAATAATTCTCATGTGAAGATTATCCAAAGAATATGTCATAAATCAGACAAATTAAAACCGTTTGACATGCAATATTTATTAGTAATAGAGGCAACACTGAATTGTCGAATGAGGAGTCTAACGTCATAAGATTTGATTTCTTTGTTGAGATATTCTCATCCAGAGAAAATAAAATCTATATTGACCTTCTAGAGACTTCGCATGAAGATTGATCAAGTGTTGATTAGTCCTTTGCGATCGGAGTTCAATATACTCTATTTGTAATCAAATAATGAAACTGAAGGATTAAAGTTTAGATATTTTTTACCTGATAGTGAAATTTTTTGCAAGTATTGTATTATAATTATATAAAATATAGAAACTTTCATTTGAATTGATTTCAATAGGATGAATTTATATTCTAATAGATACAACTTATAAAATAAATCTTAAAGAGAAAGCAATTTTTCACTACATAATAAATTTTAATTTCCTCGTGTGAAGCAACTACGAGTGCAACTGTCTTCTAGTGTTTAAGAAAATTTGTCATAGACATAATAATAAAAGATATAAGTACAATATTAAAAACTGCTTATATTTGCTAACTATACTACTTATTCTATTCTATTTATATATTGATAAAAATCATTTACTAAATCTAACCAACTAATTTTTCATATCAGTGAAATCAACAAGATAAATAAAACAAAATTGATTGAGAAATCAATTAAAATACGAAGATATTTATAATTTACCTTTCACCTTTAATTTCATCATACTACAATCATAGGGACAGAACGAAAAAAAAAATTATAAATCCGAACTCCCAGATTTGAACTGGGGACCTATAGGTTACTACGATTAATATACCATTACAGCCTACCGCTCTGCCAGCTGAGCTAAGTTCGGATGTTTAAACAGAATGTAATAATACACAAAACTCTGAATTAAAGATATATACCGACTAATTCGAAAACCACTCAATATCAATGTTGTCTTAAAAAAGGTATAATTTTTTCGAACTGTCTCATTTTCTATTCATCTTATTGTAGAAGCTCCTTTGTGAAATTCTTGAATTATTAATCTCAAAATTACACACATTGATGGATATCACTTTTCCAAATAAGCTTTTTTTTATTTATGCCGATTGAAAATTATTTTCTATATCTTATATAATTTTTTACAAAAGCTTTGGTTCATCTTGCCAAAATGAATTTCAGACATATCCTAGTGCTCAATATATATATATAGTTCATTTTCAGTGACTTCTAATTTTTTATTTATATTACTTTGGAAGAGATATAGTGTAGAAATTATCAGAAAATTCAGTCAGAGTCGTATGATAGTGAAAAAATTGTTTTAGAATAGAAAGAGTCAAAATAAATTTAAAAGATCGTATCCTACACCAACTTTATTATACTTTTACGATTGTAGGTCAAAAATAATAGTCGACTAAACTAAGAATGTAATCAAATAGATTAAATAAATATATTCTATTTATATTTCATTATTATGCAGTCAATAATAGCACTTCAATATCAATGAAATATTTTCTAAAAAATATTTCTACATATTTAATGTTTTTTTTTTCTTTATTATAAATCTTAATAATTCAAACTGAACAAAACAATATCCTAATAGAACAAGGAAAAACAACAAAATTCTCGATTACATCACTAGTTCTTCAAAAATAGTGTATTTCAACATTACACAGTTGTTACGTGTTTTATTACTTATAAAATTCTCTGTTACAGTCAACATATGTGTGTATTTCATTTGAAGCTTTTTCAGACAAGATAAACATGTGTCAGTATAGAAACGAAATTGTTCTACATAATTTATATGACCAAAAGACATATCTAGTTCACTAAGATTAGAGTTACGAATGTACAGTTTCAGTAAACTATTCATCGAAAACTCACACTGTCCGTAAATCACCGTCAGTATTTTCATCGAAACAACACATCTTGAATAGGAATATTCAATAATCGAGGATGTTTTGTACATTTTTCTAGCTGAGTTGGTTGTTTCTTTAGTTGTTTCGTTATATTTAGTACCGTTAAATATTCGACTCATGAAAAGACTTCAGAGATTCGTGAGAATAAATCATGTTCAAATGGACGAAAAATTTTACTCACAAACAAAATACGAACATTCATGAATAAATCAACAGGGAAATTGTTAATAACATTAACCAATGCCTCGAATTTTTTAATCCTTGTATCAAACAGTCTCATACACTATTTTTTTTAACTGCTAACAAATATCTTAATATTCAAATAAATAACAGACAAAAAAAGAGCTAGACTTTCACTCAAGTAAACCTCGAGTAGAAAAGACAGATGACTGCACGAGCTCGCAATCCTATACAACATCTGCTTTTCCTAAATCTTAGACTTCCGTAGAGGAAATCATCATGAATTTCAGTTGCATCCAACTATCTTGCTTCAACTGACAAGTTAAAAGATAATGAATCTGAACTAACTATTGCATATAGCATCTGAAATATTAATGATCTTTTTCAGATTGAATCGACACATAAACATAATCTAAAGAAAAATCAAGATAATATAATTAGGTTCATATTAATATTAGTTAAAATTATTTGGTTCGTGTCAGAGTAAAGACTTTGAAAAAATTAAAAGCAAAACGTGGCGAATATTAGATTCATCTATTCTATAAACTCTTATAATAAAATATTTTTGATTAGTAAATGTGTTTGTTTTCTATAAAGATTGAAATCCGTTCGATGAAGAACTTTTGCCAATAAATCTGTCCGTAAAGCAGAAAAAAATAATCAGAGACAAAAAAAAATAAAAGATATTATTAAATACTATCATCAGCATTCTTTTGCTAATTGTATTGTCGTCTAAAATGTCTGCTGTAGAAAAAGATCGTTCTACAAACTTCGACATTGTTACAATTTCCAGATAGATAAGAGAATATTCTTGCAAAAAGTCTATTTTTCAATATTCAATTGTTTTATCATTCTACAAAAAAATCGAATTCTATTGGTATAATCTTAAAATATTTGTATCTTATTATCGATGATCATTGTTATCATTAAAAGTCATCATTCTAACATTCAAATGAATAATACTTAATGAATAACATACTGTAATTAGATTATAAATCAATAAGTGATGATAATGGATACCGATAACTATCTTTTAAACCGTAATGGAGATGAGTTATTAGATTTTGTAAACATAATAAAAATAGTAGCAAAGATCTTTAGGATTGAACTTCTTATCAGGTCAATTGTATTCTTGTCTTTAATCAGTACGACAAGATTTCACATTAGTTCCATTCATATTACATAATAACATCAATTGATAGAATAACAACTGTCTGAAGTTGTATGATTGTGATACAGAAATAGAGTTGGATTATTTTCTCAAGATATCGACAATTCAGATTGAATTTGTTTTCTAAACTCTTTCTCACAACAGAATACCCTTTGGAAGAATAATGCACCGAACGTAATAGAAGCTTCGAGGAGGAAACAGCAGACTTCAACACTGAAACCCTTACTGTTTTTCCCTTCAGAAGAACTCTCTTAATTAATTGATTTCTCGAACTATTGGAAGTTTAATTTGGATATTTACATTTAAATACGTCTATTTTTATAGGATTTCGAGCTGAAAGTCTTGTAAGATTGTGGTCAAAGCTGTTCCTGAGTTTCTAAAATCCTAAAAATGACTTGTTAAATCCAAAAAATCCAATTGCTTTTCTGAAAAATCTTCTATTTCTAGTTTGATTCAAATTATCTCATTGTAAAAAGTTTGTTCTTTCCTATAACTTATTAATCAATTAGATGAAAATTACAGTTCTACTCTGCAAATAGTAGAGTATAAGATGTCGATAGTTGTAAATGTTATTCATTTAGAACTTGGTTACTTTATCATTTATATAATAAATAATTTTCATAGCAAAATGAATAAAAACAATTACCTCAAATTAAAAATTAATAAATTTCTCGAACAAAAATCTGATTCTAATCGGTTAATGTCACAATGTATCGAAAAATATGGTCGCGTTAAGTTTGAAAATATCACAACATACTCAATCTTTCTTGTCTTATTGAATAGAAATGATTTTGAATATTATATTAATAGAATATTTTCTAATCTTTCATTCAATTTGAGAATCAAACTAGAAAACGTATATTTTATAAATCATCATTCTTATCATCAAGAAGATTTTGTATTTGATTATACAACTGTTAGAAAAAAACCAGCATCATTATTCTTTATTAAAACTAAAAAAAACCTGATCACCATGAATTGAAACTGGTTATTGGTTATATATCTCTATTTTGAAAACTAAGTTTTGACTGTCATTGAAAAGTCGAATATTGCAAAAATTGACAAACAATAGGTACACAGAGTCGTATGAGAGTTTATTCTATTCAAATAAGATTTCAATTTGGTCGTGATAAATATTTTTCTTCTTTTAATTCTGTTCGAAATATTAAAAAAAAAAGGCTTGAAAAAACTTCATTTAATCATTAACCAAGACAAATATTTCAACCTTGAAAAATTGAGAAATCATGAACAAATGATATATATATATAATTCTTCAAAAACTAAGAAAATAATTATCGATTTCACACCTACTCTTGAAATGCTGGTCGTAATAAATGTAAATTTATTGTAAGTAATGTGATAACTCATTTAAAGAATTTTTATTCTTTAGTTTATGAGTAACATAGGTTTGTAGGATATATATACCACTGTTACAATCGAAGGATAAGAATGTCTCATCGGAAATTGGAATGTTGAAGAATATTTGATAACGAGAAAAAAAAACTTTTCAAGTAAAACATTGAATAAAAAAAAAAGAATCTATTATTCGTGTTGATGGTGAAAATTCATTATTGATAATTATTAAATATTCTAATTGGTTTTAGTTTATTTTATATATTTAGTTTAAATCATCAAATATTTCTCAGTTAAAAGATAAAATATAAACAAAAAATACATTCTCTTGTGTTATTTTATATTAAAGACAAAAATAAACGAAAAGATTTGTTTGTTTTTTTTCTTAACATATATATAATAATTTTATTTTACCAATATATATGTTAAAATGTATAATTATTTGTTGTCCATTTTTCTTTTCTTAATTTACAAAATTTTAATAAAAACTTCTCATGGTTAATAATCCATTTCAATATTGGTGTAAATATCAATTTAAAAAGAAGAAAAGCTAATGCAAAAATACCAATAATAGTTGTTGTAAAAAGTATATTATGAAAAATAATTTCACCTCTTCGTGCAATTGGTTCTTGTTTATTAATAACATAAAATTCTGTTTCACTAAAACTAATGATCAATATATGTTGTGTAGATAAATAACGAAGAAATGCACCTTGTTGTAAATAAGTAAGACGATCATTAAGTGATCCATTAGATGATGTTGGAATCCATATACCACTATAATTTGTTGAATCACTATAATCTAATGATTCTGTTCGATTAATAACTTTTGTAAGGGCAAAATTGATTTCTATTGTTTGACTAAGAGTTTGATCAGATGTATAAAACAATTGACAATAGTCTAATTTTTGAACGACATATGATGAATCATTCATTGTAGAAAAAGAACCCGTAAGACATATGCGAGCACCACCAATATAATATAATCCTATATATAAGAACTGACATTTAATTTATCTGAAGTATGATTTACCTGTCAAATTTATTTGTAAAGTCATTTGATGAGAAGGTATATTATATGCTTCAGTTAATATAGCACTATCTGATTCCTCAGTACAATTGCCAGGTGGAAATGTGACAGAATAAGTGCCAATATTTTCCTTAACAAAGAAAATATTTTCAAAAATATATTCCTATATTTAATCATTTATATTAATTCAGATTGTAATAAAAAATATTTTATTTTTTATTTATTTACCTGCTCAGCAACATCATTACAAGTGAAACCTGTCTGTAAAAAATTGATCGTCATTGTAAATTTTTGATCATCAAGCATATCAAATATAGGTCTTTCTTCATCAGATTTAATGGTAGCTAATAATTGTAGTGCTGAACTAAATTGAGTATTTGTTATTGATTTATCACATACAAAATAAGGATCATTCGATTTTTCTATTGGATATTCGATAACAAAAACTGTACCAAACCAAAAGCTATAGCCGATAAGAACAATAATAGAAAATGAAATAAGTCCACCAAACCATAATTCTCCATTGCCAATAAGATCGGAATGACGTAATAAACATTTAAGACGTTGAAAATGCTTCTTTCTTGTTGGAGAAAAGTATAAAATTCCCATGATAAGTAGAATAATAAAAGCAAGACATAATGTAATTAAAGCCCAAAAAAATGGTGAAATGAGAAGACATCGATAAGGATTTGTGTGTAGAATAAATGTATTTTCCATAAGAATATCATCGAATGACGCCATTGAAGATGATGTAGGATAAGCATAAGCTTGACTTTTCGATTGAAATAGTGATTTATTTACATCACTGATTGAAGCAAGAGGACATATAGAATTTGACGAACAAGCAATACATTGTATTGTCGGATATCCTACATTTATACCTTGTGATGAATTATATGATACATCTTTAAAATATTAAATAAAGAGTTAATATTTAAAAAAAAATAATACAATATTTCTTACTACTAGAAGAACTTCTAGTCATTGTTGGACATACCGTACATGGTGTTGGACCTCGAATACTTTTATAAGTTCCACGTGGACATGTGACTTGATATTGTAATGGATTATTAATATCATCTGTTTTTCTATAATAACCTGCATCAGCTGAAGGAACTAACACTACAACTCCATCGGTTGTAAGTATAACTAATTGATAATCGTATGTTTTTGTTAAACGAATAAATGTTGAAGGTGTATTTGACCATTGTTCTAATGATTGTTGATTATTAGGATAAGCATATAATATGTCATTAGAAGATATATTTATTACTTGTATTCGAGATTGTGCCCAAGGAAGTGTAGATTGACCATTAAGAAGTAAACCAGCTTGTATACCATCATCATCAAGCCAACTTGTTGAACGTGCTGAATGATTAAATGTATTAATTAATGTTAAATTTGTACTATTAAATGAAAAAAGATATGTTTTATGTAATTGTGGTACACCAATAAGAACTTGTTGAGTTGCATCATGAATTGAAACAGACATAACATAATCAAATTGATAAGTAGAAGCATAACGTCCACGAACAAATTTTTGATTATCAGAATTCAATGTATAATTATCAACAAGAGTCATATTATAAGGTGGATCTAAATGAACAAGATAAATAGATGGTAAAGTTCTTTCAATATCAATTTCAAAATAACCAGCAATAATTGCTATTGAAAATTCATCATTCGTTTCACCTACATCTAATGCATGAGGATAAATATTAATCGATGGAAATATATCATTCCAAAAAAGATCTTGTACATAATTATTTTTAATATCATAAATAAAAATATTTTGTGAAAGAAAACCATATGCATATTTTCCATAAAGATCAACTTGTAATGTTAATAACTCAGATGAATTATCTTTCCATATTTTCACATCATGTTGACCTTCATTACTATTTAACATACGATTGCATGAATTATTTGATGAATTAAGTTTTTTTTCACGTGAAAATGTAAATAAACCTAATATTTTATATTGTCCATCTGTTGTATTTGTTCGTAAATAAACAAATGATAATTGTGAAGAATTTTGTTGTCGACCAACAGCTATACTAATAACAAAATCATTTGATGAATTATAATTATAACCACATACATATCCCATTCCAAAAGGAGCCATTGAAACTACATAACGAAGACCATCATTTTGAGCAAGTACAACAAAATCATTTGTACTAGCTATACGTATTCCATATGCATCATAATCATGCCTGTCTGAATAGTTTACTGCATTGATAATTAAAAAAAAATTTGTTAAAAAAAATATAATCACACCATTCAATATGCTTAACATTGAAAACATATTTTCTTTTTTTCGTAAGACTTGTACATTACCATTGAATTGTTACCAATTATGATAAATCATGCTATTCATATAGCCTACTGCGGCTGCTGGATTTACGTAAATAATGTGAAAAAAAAAAACTTTTGCGTCAAATCACGTCGATCGATTATATGCAAGAAATAGTAACAAGGTAAACACTTACATTCAATCGAATTATTATTTTAAAAGTGCGAAAAGAACAAAAAAAAACAAAGTTAAGCAGATTGATTCGACAGAGAATTTTTTTTGATCATGCCATTAAATTTGATAGATTTATAAATTTTTTTTTTCTGCAACAATTAATTCAACTTCAAATGGAAATTTTATCTAAATTTTTTTTATAAAAAGAAAAAAAAAACATTAGATATAAATAAAGTCTAATTTACATTATTTTATTTCGTTTAGCTTTTTTCTTAACCGATCGTTGAATGGTGACAAGAAGTAGGTGTTCGAAAATAAATATGAATACACACAAATGTACTTAATATTTAATCTTACTATGCAAACAAATAAAATTTTGTTTTTTTGTTAAATCACACTTCAATTCTTAATATTATTTCATCTTTATTTTTAATTATAATTGATAGAAAATTTTACTCGAATAGATTAAAAATTAAATATTTCATCATTTTCTTCTTTTTATTGTTTGTACTTTCTAAACTTTAATGAAAAGACGTTTAATATCACAAGTATTCAGAAGTATTCTATTCAAAAATATATGTATGACGTATTTTCATTCATGACAGTATGTTTTTTTTTTATTTGTGCGTGCGGCGATCACTTTTAATTGAAGAAAAAAAGAAAATGACATAATTGAGTTTTTTATTCTTTGTTTTTCCTCTTATGACATTAAAAGTTCATATTAAAAAATGTTCGATTTCTCAACACCTATTTTTACATGTTATTATTGAAACTTGCTTATTCTGTCATTTTAAATTCAAAACGAAAAATATAAAACGAGCTAAATTAAATATGTCAAAAATCGATGTTATTTTTCTTTTCTATGAATTCATTTTTTATGAACATGATGTTTTTCACGAAGGTATCGTCGAAAATAACAAACAATAATAATATTCCATAACATAAGACAAATCATTGAACCAGCACAAAATATTAAATGTGGTTTACTTCTTTGATCAATTATTTTTTGATTTTTTTCATAATCCCAATAAACACCATGCATTTGACAAAGAGTTATTAAATAAACGCACAAATGAAATAAATGATGACCTTGTCCAATAAAATCAAGAGCACCGGGACAAAAACGTTGTGGTAAATCAAAAGCAAAAAGTATTCCACCAATAATAAATAATATAATTTGTCCTAAATGACACATTGAACATGAATCTAATGGAAAATTTAATGGAAATAAACCGATAATTAATGGAATAACTGAATAAATCCATAAAATTCCACATGGTAAAAATTGACAAATACGTTTTAATGGTGGATAAGGTGGACAAAAATAATATTGAGCAAAACAATTTGAAAGACAAGCAAGCATACCAAGTAAAAGAAGAATAAATACATATTGATATTCAATTTTATCATAATACCATTGTGGTGCTGAATAATAAATATGAAGAAAACCTGAACCAAAACCATGTAAACTAACACCAATATAATCAATTGCAAAACAAGTTTTATGAACTGTTTCAGATTTTGAATGTAATAAATGTGCAAATACTGAACACATAAACATGATTATAGCTGTACATAATGATACAGCAAATGGCCATGAATGTGAATTTTCATAAAATTTTAATCGTTGATTATAATAATATAATAAATGTCCTATATATAATATACCTATTAAATGACTCCAAACATTTATTGTTTCATTATGTTTATGAAATAATGATTTCCAATAATAAGACCATGGTTGATTAAGTGAACGATAACCACGTAATATAAATGGTTCAATTAATATTGGTGGAATATCATTGGATGTGCATGGATAATGTGACATATCTTGCAATGAAATGAAAGTTGATCGTGCACGAAGATGAAGACGTTGTAATCGAGTTCGAATATCATGTTCGAATGAAAATGATAAAGTTGGAAAATAATACGCCAAACGTGTTGTATCCAACATAATTTAACTCTATTTAACAAAAAAATAAATATAGGTACTCTAAAAAGTATTCAGACATTTAAGACCATTTCGATCTTTTCTCAAAATTGATTTTGATTCAGACACATGAAATTTTTTAGGATATGTTGAGATTGTAGAGAAGAGATTATGGTAAAATTTTCAGTCCTATAACATGACGTTTGAGAGATATATTCATCAAACTATGATCAACAATAGTTCTTCTAGCAATCTAAAATTCTCTGTAAGTCTTCATTCTATATATTTAATTTTGCTTAAAAGACTATGTTAAAATGTAAGACATAATAGAGTTCGTTTTTTGTAAACTGAAAATTTTACCATAGTTTCTCTTCTACAGTTCCAATATATCCTGAAAAATTCATGCCATTTCCATGTGTCTCGATCAAAATCGTTTTTATTTTAAGAAAAAATCGAGATGACCTTCATTATCAGGATATTCTTTGAAGTACCTATATATATTATAATCATATATTCTTAAATAATAGAAAATATTACAAAAAAAGAGAGAAAAAAAAGACAATAAATATAAGAGAAATAGAAAAAAAAACTTAATTTTTTTGTTCTTCTGATATTCGAACGATTAATATTTCATTTATAACATCTGCTTTGGCAATAAATCTATTATAAAATTCTGTATCGATGAAAATTTACGATCATAAAATAACTAACATTATCTTCATATAGATTCAAGTATAGTGAAATAACAACTACCAAACATATCTATATATATATATATAAGTTCTGCTTATTTTTCTTTTTTGCTTTTTTATTATTCTTTATTTCAAAAGCGCGCTTTGTAACAGATGTTTGTCCATGCAATCGCTATATCGTTCTAGTACCCTTTTGACTCAAATGTCATTTTGAAATGATAAGAACAAAAAAAAATTGCTTAGCCTCTGAAGTACTTTATACATATATATTTACATAATAGTTAGTAATCTAGAATAAAAAAAAACCGGCAAGTAATATATAAGATCATAGAGAACTTTACCTGAGTTTTAAATAATTTGTAAATCAAACTATAAGTACAATTTGTTTTTGTGTATGTTGTTTGTCACTTTCAATAACAACAACACTAATGAAAATCTTTATAGTATTGCCGATCACCTAGGAGAATGAAGGATCGAACGAGCAAAGTTCTGAGTGCGTTTCGCGCGATAGAAAACGACACTTAAGTTCACTCTTGCATGTGTACATACGCGTTTTCTCTTTCTTTTCTCTGGGTTTTTTTTCTTCCTCTAGTTTGAATAAAGTTATAGTAATAATAATACTACCTATGCATTCCAGTGCAAAAATATGAGTAATCAACAAAATATTTGAGATTTATTGAATGACAGCTTTATATATTTTGGTCGATCGAAGATTTGCTTTTGGAGTTAAGAAAAAAAACTCATAATTCTCCTTATGATTTTTTCTATATGAAAATTAAATGAGAACTTTGTTTTTTGTGTGATATTTATCATCGAGGTATTCTAATGAGTTTGTGTTTATAAATGATAACGTGCATTTTTCTTGTTGAATGTGTAGATAAATACTATTAATTTTGCCCTTTCTATTCTCACCATATGACGTCAAAAAAAAAATCAAAAATAAATAACAATGCATCATGATAAGTACGAAAATATAATAAACAAGTTATTAATTTGAGAATATTGATATGGCGCAAATTTTTTTTTAAAAGTTTTTCTACACTTTTTATAAAAAGAAACTAACATCATAATTAGTGATTGTCAATTTCATTAATATAAAATTATTTGATATTCAAAAATAAATTGAACTTCTATATTAAGAATTGAAATTATTCTCATATATTTTGTTTACTATTCTTAGAAAGATTTAATTCATAATAGAAATCAATGGTAGAGTGACACTACAGAATTCAAATGATTTTTCTTAGATATGTAATACAGATTTGTGAATTTCGTATTGTTTGAAGTTTTTAACTCGATTTAATCATTTTTTTTTTGTAGAAAGTATCAAAATACTAAAGAAATTTCTAATAATGATCTTTTAACTTGTGAAACCTATCGTTAACTTTAATTACAATTTTTCTTAGGTATTTTCAAGTCGATAACTCTTGCTCATGTATGCTGAGTTTTACATAAATCAATAATAAAAATATAAATTTATTTAGTCAAGATCTATCCAAAATATTTAATTCTCTTCTAGAGAAAAGATTTTTAATGCAACTAATAATAATAATAATATATTTCTTTTTTACACAATTTAGGTTAGTTTTAAATTCATTTTGTCAATGTGTGTAAATATTAGTTCGTATGAGACTTGATAATTATGATAAAAAAAAAGAAAAATAATTATCATACTCTTACTTTATAATTAACAGGTATACCTTTCTATAAATTCTCGCAATTCTTTTTAGATAAATATTTTTTCTTCTTGTTTGATCAAAAGCTCATACCTTCTATAGATTGCAGTAACCTATCTTTCAGTAAAAAAATCTTTAATCAACTAAAACTAAATGTCTCTACAAATTACAAGAATTTTTCTGAAAACAAACATCATTTTTTGATTTAAATTTTGTCAATTTGTCATGTTTATTATCAACTAAAAATTTAAAATAATTTATTATATTATTGAGACTTGTTATTATTTACTTCATTTCAGATGATGATCGTTGAATAAAAAAAGATTAATTTTGATACTTTCGATGTGAAAGTCGATTTGAATTATAAATTGTATACTGCAAGTCAATCATATATTTTGTTCTATCTTTTCAAAGATTATTCTATTTCACTTGTATTTACTCTCAAAAAAAGATAAACGATTGTGCTACTTCTAGAGAAAAATACAGATAAAATAAGAGAATCTTTCTAATGATAGCACAGAATATATAATTGGTCTACATAACAGAACTTATAAGAACTTTAAGTTCAATCACATGCATTCCAGCTTTCAACGTTTTGCTCAACATCTTGGAGCAAGGTGTAGGTATGCGCTATAAACAATTGAAAAGTTTAGATTCTCACTGAGAAATCGGTTTGTGATTATGCTTTTCAAGACGATGTAAATAAACACACACATAAAAACCAACTAAACTAATAACTTTTTGTTCTTATAACTGTATTGTTTTTTAAGATTGCATTCGATTAAACAATCGATAGATTTGCTCTATACAAACCCGGTTATAGTCAATGTGAACATTGAAATGAATATTCCTCTCTCTCTCTCTATATATATATTACACAACATATTCAAATAATAAACTACCGCTTTCATATTTTTTTTTGTATCATTGAGACATTAATAAACTATTACAATGGGATTAAGATGAAATTTTATCTCAGCAAAGTGAAATAAAGGTAGAAGTCTTTTGCATAAATCATTGATTTGCATCAGAAATAATATATTAAAATTTTGAATAGTAACACCTATTCTTTCTTCTGTTCGAAATTTAAGAGCTTCTTTTTTGAAACACGATCTAAAAGGAATGTTGATGTATAAAGGGTAGAAGTTAGGACTCTCCTGTCTATCACAGACCGCGATAGACGTTGTTGATATACGATCAAAGACTATGATGTCAATAACGTTTCGTTCTGTAGGGATGCAACGGTGACGATAACCGTAGGTACGGTTACCGATCCAAGTACGATAACCGTAGGTAGTTATCGATTCAAACTCGTTGTCAACCGATAACCGTAGGTAGTTACCGGTTCAAACCCGTTGTCAACAAAAACAGCATTTTTTAAGAAAATAACGATATTTTATAAAGGTTGGCGAAAGTAAATCGAGATCGAAGAATCCGAACCTGAGGTTAGTTTTTGAAAATTTCGAATTGAATTTTTTCGACAAAGGAAAGGGTTTTTTTAGAAAAATAATGATACTTTAGAAAGGTTGACGAAAAGTCAGTCAAGGTCGAAGAATCCGAATCTGAAATCAGATCCACGAACTTTTCAATTTTCTCTCCCCAAGACTAAACTGCTCCTTGAAAGTCATCTTTTTTTACAGAAAACTTTATCCCTGAAAAACATCATATGTGAAGAACTAAAACTCAAAATTTTCAAAAGCCGACTTCAGATTCGGATTCTTCGACCTCGATTTACTTTCGTCAACCTTTATAAAATATCATTATTTTTCTAAAAAAACCTATCCTTTGTCGAAAAAATTCAATTCAAAATTTTCAAAAACTGACTTCAGATTCAGATTCCTCGACTTCGATTTACTTTCGTCAACCTTTATGAAATATCATTATTTTCTTAAAAAATGCTGTTTTTGTTGACAACGGGTTTGAACCGGTAACCGTACCTACGGTTACGGTAGTGGGACCGGTAACCGTAGGTACGGTTACCGTAGTGGGACCGATAACCGTACCTACGGTTAACCGGTGAATGATCGTCACCGTTGCATCTCTACTCGTTCTAATGTATGAACAACTTCCTTATTACATTTTTGAAGGACTAAATAATAGAATAGTGAAGAAATGTGTTTCAAAATAGATAGAATAAAGTCATCTTCTATGATTAGCAACAACAACTACATTGTATTTCACATTTTAATCCTGCACGGATTGTACTAACAGTTTTTCGATAATGATTCAATTCAGTATGAAAATTTTTATTTTTTTATTGATCTGTTTAAAAAAAAACAACATTTATTTTATTTGATTTAAAATGAATATTTAGAATAAATTCTGCTTCAATTTCAAATCTAAAATTATTTTTAAATTTTAATATATAAGAAAAAAAATTCAATATAGTCATATTAAAACTAAAACTTCAACACGACATATTCAGGTATTGTAAATGCACAGAATACAAATGCAGTTCGCCATCTTAACAAAGAGAAAAAGTCTCTGTTGAGACACTAATTATAGATGATAATTTTATTTTTCTCTTTTTTTAGTTACCCTGAATTTTAATCTAAAAAATAAATATGCAAATCAGCCAAGTACTGTACACATCACCTGCACGAATGTATTCATAACATATTGTCTTTTATTAATTTAGAATAAAACACCAATCAAATTTTAAAAAAAAACCGTTCTTTGTTATTTATACTTTAAATTCAAAATAATAAAAATACATTAATAAAATATCTAAAAAAAAAAACGAAGTCGAAAATATCATATGCAAAACAATAGATAATATTATCATGATTTCATGAAGAAAAAACAATTATTTAATAATTATTTTCAAATGAATCGAAAGAAATTTATCTTGAAATGGAACAGCAAACGAAATGACTTCGATGTTGACTAATCTTCTACTTTGTTAGATTACACAATTTTTTTTTTTGACGATCTTAGCTCACTTACTCACTACAATATAATCAATAGATTCCTGAATCTTTCTTTCTATTGTTTTTTTGATTCAATTATTTACTTAAGACAGTTTTAGCTTAGATCAAACTATTTTTATATTCTAAAGAAATAACCTTAGTCAAAAAATCCTGTTCCAGCCGTATGTGTGTAAGATCATTTATTCATACAGTAACAAAAAATTTTATAACAAATCAATTTTGTTTTTTATTTTTCTATTTGTGGTAGTCAGATCGAGTACTTGACAAAAGAAAAAAAGAAATTGAAAATACTGTATAATATTAATCTATACGAATAAACAACGTCATTATTTTCAATTAATTAGGAAATATTTCTAAGAAAAAAAAAATATATTGAAAAGAATTTTAATCAGATGATTTCTTTGAAAGAAAAATATTTATGATTTTATTTTTATTCAAAATAGTATGACGTCTGTAATTAAATATGCAAACGTATTCTGTCTAATATTATTCTCATGATTCTTTTTCGTATTATAATAAGTCTTCTTTGTTTTGTTTTTCTCTTTCTCTTTACTTTTTTTTGTGTACAGATTCAATGGTAATCGTGTGTCACATTATACTCAACTTGATTTTAAATAAGAAAACACAACCATACTTCGTTTCCACTGTTACATTGTATTTGCTTCTTATTTTCGTTCTCTAGTAAGTCGTGATGTGAAAAAATTAAAATACACCCACATTTATATCTATATATCTATATATATAGAGAGAGAGAGTAAGAACGATGAAATTTTTTTTTGTTTATATATTTTAATTTTAAATTAACGATAGAGAAACAAATGTAAGTTATTGATTGAATAAAATAAATTTTTATTTTTATATTATTAAGTATTCATTTTATTGAGAAAGAAAAATGTTACTGAATAGTAGAATGGCTTCCATTCCTAGTTCATCTCGTCATACAATATCTTTTATGAATGATATTAAACATGTATTTAACAAACAAACTCGAGATTCTCTTGTTAATTATACATCAAAATCATCAACAACATCTTTACAATATTCTCATATGCGTGTTACTCAACGTCTTCATCGTTATCGATTTATGAAAAAACAATGGCAAGAAGTAGCAACATCTATTCACAATCCTTCACTCTTATCTCCAACATGTGAATCTTCAACATATACTCAAGATACAATGAAAGATTTACCTATAACAATACAAAAACAAAATACTGAATCAAAAGGTTATCGTTTTAATGATTATATTATGGCAACAACAGCAGCA